TAAACCTCTTTTGTGAACCACACGTGTCACGGGAGTTTCTCTGTCGAACGGGGCAAACCTTACACTTAGTAGTTCCTTGATCAGAGTATTGTTTTCTATATTGTTATATTGCTTGATTGTTTGTCTGGTGTTAATCCCTGCTTATCTGGGTGTAGGCTGCTGTAGACGATATTTAAAATATTTAAAAGGACACACATCAGATTTTCTATGCTGGAGGTATGGTTCATTGACCCATATGATTTGACCATGTGATCATTTGCTATCTTTTTGAGATAGTGTATCTGTGCATATAAGTGTGTGTGTACCTTCGAGTCAGTTTTTGTCTCCTGGTGACCACCTGGACAACTCCCTGCAGTTTTCTTGGCAAGATTTCGGAAGTGGTTTGCCATTGTCTCCTTCCTAGGGCTAAGAGAGAGTGACTGGCCCAAGATAACCCAGCTGGTTTTGTGCCTAAGGCAGGACTAGAACTCACAGTCTCCTGGTTTTTAGCCTGATGCCTTCACCAGGACACCAAATTAGCTCTCATATAAGCAGAGTTATGGGAAAATCTATAAATGTTAAAGATGTTAATGTAACGTTGAACTATGTACCCAAACTTTAGAATCTGACTGTGTATCAGGAATTATGGTCGTACTAAGCATGGGGAGTGGCTAAAAGAATATTGAGAAATGAGAAATGTGGTATTAATCCAAGATGTCAAGGAATCATTGGAAATGTATGATCTTGGAAAAAGCAATATTTTCTACTAATCAGAGGATGCAGTAATATGTGTTACTATGGCAGAGATTTTGTGGTATTTTACAATAATAATTTGTAGTGATCGTAGTATAGAGGTAGTCCAGTTACAACAGCAACTGGAACCAGAATTTCCATTGCTAAGTGATGTGATTGTAAAGAGCAACATCACATGACCAAATTGCTTAGCGATAGCAATCCTGACAGTCCCGGTTGCCATAGTAATCCCAGGACAACACAGTATTAAGTGAGGACCTCACGTGACCACGAGGCAGGCAGAGGCGGGACCCCCAGGCAAGCAGGCCAGCGGATGAGAGCTACGAGTGAGAGCTATGGGTAGGTGGGTGGGTGCCGCAGGCAGGCATTATGGAGTGCAGGCAGATGAAAAAGTGGCAGAAGCAGGAGCAACTTGTGATCTCCTGCCAGCTTCCCCATTGACTTTGCTTGTGGGAAGCTGGCAGGGAAGGTTGATTATGTGACTGTGGGACGCTGCAACTGCCGTAATTGCGAGCCAGCTGCCAAGCAGCCGAAACGTGATCGCAGGACCGCAGATATGCTGAGATGGCTGCAACATCATAACAGCGCCATTGTAAATTTGAACAGTTGCTGGACGAGCGATTTTAACCCGAGGACTACCTGTAGTAGTGTATTTATTAGTAAACCAGCAATTATTGATAATTGATATACTATCAATAGTACTATTTCTATATATACAGTTTGTGCAACAGTCACTAAACCCTTGAGTATGGCTTCCTAACTTTCTTCATTAAATATTACTTATCAGAAGTTATTGGATTTCTTGTGAGCTTACATGGTGCTGTCCTGCCTGTGAGGTGAAGTCTGACAGTTTCTTTAGTGAAGAACTTTATATTTGTCAATATTAAATTTCATTGTAATTTTCAGTCTATCAATACTATTTTGAATTTTATTTCTGTTTTCTAATGAATCAGCTATTACACCTAGTTTTTGTAATTTGAAAATTCAGTAAAAATTTCCTCCACCTTGGATTACAGGTAGCCTCAACTTACGACCACAGTTGGGACTGGAATGTCCATTGCTAAGCGATGCAGTTGTTAAGTGAGTCACATCTGATTTTAAAAACTTTTTGCCATGGTCGTTAAGCGAATCAAGCAGTCGTTAAGGGAATCCAGCTTCCCCCATTGACTTTGCTTGTCGGAAGTCCCCTGGGAAGGTCGTAAATGGCAATCATGTGACACCAGGACACTGCAACTGTCGTAAATACATGCCAGTTGCCAAGCACTTGAATTTTGATCATGTGACCGTGGGGATGCTGTGACGGTCGTTAGTCACTTTTTTCAGCACAACTTCGAATGGTTGTTAAACGAATGGTTGTAATTCGAGGACTACCTGTATCTTAATACTTCCTGATCATGGATTATTTTTTAAAAACTTGGTTACTTCAGAAAAAAATTAGGGTTTATTAGAGAATGTCTGAAAAAAGGTTGGTTCTCTTATTTCTATGCCAGAGATATGAAGAATTTTGGATATATCTGCTAGGACTGTGGCTAAAAAGCATATTCATGGAAAAATGCTTTTATCTCAGACTCAAAATATTGGCTGAATGAAATCTGTCACCTCTCAGCTTCTGAATCAGCTTTGGATCAAGTAAGAGACAAGACTGGACAATATGATTCTGTATGGTCTAGCTTTAAAAACTCAATCATAACATTGAAAAAACTGAAGAAAGTTATATAGACTTATAAAACAACCTTTAAATCAGCTTAGGGAGAGGGATAATTTAGATATTTCAGTATTTGTTTTTTTCACTGTCTAATTTAATCTAGGATTTTTTCTCTCTTTTTCCTTTGTTCTCTTAAGTAGAGTATACTACTGTCACAAACCGGAGTTAAAAATAAAACACATTAAAAAAAAAACACAATAAAAATGTTATAATTGGTGTTGTCTTCCAGGTAGTTTACTATAGGATTTAATTTTTTTTTTCTGTTCACCATATAGCTTTTTTCATATATAGTAGGTTAAGCTACAGTATTTTCTTAAATTATATAGTTCTTATATGATAGTAATATAGTTATATTGCTATTTAGTTTACATATATTACAAGATATTAAGGTTTTTTAAAAGATGCTTTAATTGTAAAATTTTTGAAGTTTAATAGTTTAAAAAAGAAATAATTCTATGTGAATTTAGTACCCAATGTTCTTGACAATAAATATATGTTTTTTAAAAAAAAATTCCTTCACCTTTTCATCACAATGAAAGAAGAATGAAGAACAAAGGCCCCAAGATTAATCTTGTGGCAGCCCAATCAGTCTCGCCACCAATTTATTGGGGGCTACTGATGAGTACCATTTTCAAGCCACTAAACTGTCATGCCATTCAGCCTATATTTAGCTAGCTTAGCAACTGAAATGTTATGGGGTATTTTGTCAAATGCTATTTGAAATCAAGGTACAGTGTTTCCACACTCTATTAAGAGAACAGATAGATTAACTCAGAGCTGCCAAGAGTTTTGAAAATCTCAGCAATTTCCTGTGCTACATTCAAGGCTCCTTTTCTGGGCAAAATATTGGATCAAGGAATCTGGCCTTCACAACTAAGTCACCATAGAAGTGAGAGAGAAATAAAATAAGGAAGTTGATCTGAAAGTCTGGCAGAAAAGAACATAAACAAAATTATGGCAGAAAGATGAATTATGAATGCCTTGACAAAGGTTATTATATTTATTATATTTTCTCTATATGTCAAAATTACTTTTAAGGTGATGATGATCCCTAATAAAATAGGACAATGAGCATCCTCCAACTAAATATTGAAAATATGAATCACCTGAGAGTCCAAAGATCTCTTTAACAAAACTGTTAGGCATTAAATAAAAGGCAACTTCAGAAAGCAGATAAAAAGATTTTTAAAAATTGTTCTCCATTTTAAATAGAATTTTAAGATTTTTTTTAAAGGATTTATAAAAATGAACATAGCTCAGGTATAATTATGAGCATAACTTCAAATTAAATTCTACTATACTTTTCATATAGTAGAACTGAAAGGTGGTGTTTCTATGAAATTGCGAAGTCAAAGAAGGTTGATGAATTGAGAATTTGAGGTGATGCAGGACATCTGAGCAAAGAGGAATCCGGCTGTAAAGGTAAAAGATAGGAATGTGAACCCAAAACTGAGCAGAACATGCTGTTTCAGTCCTTTTGACTTTTCTGTATTTTAATCTTTCTGAAATTTAATTATTTTTTTTTTATATAGAGAGAGGGAGAGAGGGAGGGAGGGAACACTTCAGTCCTGAGGAAAAGGTTTTGGTCCAGATGCATAAGTTCTGCTGACCAAAACTTACTCATGCTCTGACCATTACCCTACTATACTGATTGCGTCTGACATTCCTGATGACTTCACAAGTATCTACCTGCTTGCTTGGGATTAAGCTCATTGTGCCATTTTAATGAAAATTAAAGCATTCTGACTAAATCTGTTTTATACTGTATGCCACAGCAGATAGCAGCATTTAACAACATTGGCTGATTATAAGACACGCACAAATAGCTAAGCAGAGTCATATCCAGTTAGCACATGAATGGGAAATCACCAGAAAATCTCAGGATTGTAGGCTAGACTGGAGGATTTAAAAAAAAAAAACCCAAAGAAGACAAAGACTAACCACATCCCCATCACTGCCAAGAAAACTGGATAAGAATGCCCAGAGAGTCATCAGGAGTTGAGGCCCACTCAGGGGACTCTGCATCCTTTCCTTTAAAAATTACATCTATATATCTGAAAATGGAAGTGTATGTACTCGGGATATATTGAAATAGAAATGTGTTTTTATTAGAAACTATGGTTATCAAATCTATCTCTATAATGAACAAAATCATTTGAATGAGTCTTCCCCCCTCAAACTATTTCAGTTACTGTCCTCTTTGCAACCTTTGTAATCTAGACACAGATAGGAATAGTGACTTATCATTCAAATGATTTTAGAATAAGCAATTCATTTTCTCAAACGGTAACAACATGAGTAGTGTACGGAGGGATGGCAGGACCTGCACATGTAGGCTAATTCTCCTTCAAACAATTTTAATAATTATCTTTATTCTATAATAAAATGTAAGCTGACCATATTTTGTTCAAATAAAGTAGCAACTTTTATTTGGATAGAAACAGATCTTTACCTTTCTTTTTGAATAATTTCCTTAACAGTTTTAAAAAATTCAATGTAGTATGTAAGAGCTATCGATGCCAATATCCAGAATGCAGAATGAATGTTAAGCCTAGGAAGAGGCTTTTCCTTTTTCTCCATGCTTGAACCTGGAACTGTAAATAAAACCACTGTTATTCTGTAAAATGTCTAATGTTAACAAATAAAACAAAGCACTTTGTCCTTTTCATTCTGTTAAGATGCAGTAAACCTGAACAGGTTTTTCTCAAGGCTCCATGGCGCTTTCTTGTGTGCCTCTTAGAGAGTAGTGATTCTCTCTGCTATCGTGTGAGTGCACAGCAAGACTCCAGAGCACTGGAAGATTCAGCACGGCTGTGCCAGGAAGCAGAGGAAACTCATCTGAAAAAAAGGGATGAGACAGCAGAAAGAAACCACTTCCAAAGCCCTCCAACATCCCTTTTCTAACCAACTAATTATCACTAATCCAAACCTGTCAAAATGTTTGTCAAGAAATTTTCATTTCTTGAAACTCAGTAAATATATAAAATGCCAAACAATGCCAGTAAATCATTAGATGTTCTCAGTGTACAATTCTATTCTTCCAGCTAGTTTAGTTTCCATGATACAATGCAGTGAAAAAAACCTTAATCCTCTTAGAACTCATGTAACATCAAAGCAGCATGTCTATCTGTCATAAAAGCTACAAGAGTCAATTCCATTCAAGCCATGAGGATCTTACATTTAACCTACATTCAGGCTGTGCATATAAAATTACATATACTGGTGGTAAAATTGCTGAGATATTTTATCTCAATACTATAAAAATCAATTCTACAGAAATATTCTGAGTTCTACAAACTAATACCTCAAAAGTTGTTCAGGCATAAAGAAACCAAACCAATACTGTTTGGAAATGTAACATATGATATCTGATACACACAATAATACACATACGTATCTGCCCAGTTGAGCCAATCTGGCAGGATTGGCACCTTCCGGGTTCCTTTGATTAAACAATGCCATCTTTTGAGACCTCAAAAGTGCACCTCCTTTGTAGCAGCACCTGCCCTCTGGCATGTGGCTCCCCCTGAGATTCAAACAGCCCCCACCACTGGTGTTTCAAAGGGCCCTGAAGACCCAGCTCTTCACCCAGGCCATTGGAGGGTGGGATTGATGCCCCTTTTCTTCTTTTCCTTGTTCTATTGGGGTTAGTTATCTTTGCCATTTTTGCTCTTTTGTAGGTTGTTTTCTTATTTTTACTTTTTGTAAACCACCCAGAGCTGCTGGGAGTTGGGCAGCATATAAATTTAATAAATATAAATACAATTGTTATTTTGATGTCAAATTTAGCTGAAAGGAGTTAGTAAAGTACACATCCGAACCAAGTGGGTCCACACTGAACCCAACAATAATAGCTTAGCAGATAGCTCAAGTATATCTTTGGCCACAAAAGATACCTGGACGCCGCCCTTTCCTGGATCGGGAGGCCATCAGGCAGTCCCTCCTACCAGTCACCTCACGACTAGATTATCATGCCTCGCGGCTTGACTACTGCAACCCGGTCTGCCTGGGGCCGCCCTGAAGACCACCCAGAAGCTTCGGCCCCGGAGGGCGGGGGCGCGGGGCGTTTCCCTGGGCCGGTCATCGCCTGGAAAGCCCTCCGAGACACAGGGCCCGGCTCCCTGAGGGACCTCCTATGTCCAGCCGCCTTCCCCGCCTGGTTCGGTCCAGCACGGAGGGCGGCGGATGGCGGAACACGCCT